GGACCGGGCCGCGGGGCCCCGCCGCGCAGGGTAAGGGCAGCGGGCGGCCGGGCACGGCCTCAGCCCCGGCTGCGGAGGGAGGAGGAGGCGGCGGCGCGGCCCGGCTCCCATCGCTTCATCGCGCGGCGCGGCGCGGCCCGGCATGGAGTGAGCGGGCGCCGCGGCCCGCAGGCGCCTCCTCCGTGTCGCGGGAGGCCGCGCGCGGCCCCATGTGAGGCGGCGCGGAGGGAGCGAGGGGGAGCGAGCGAGGCCCCGCGCCGCGTCTCCATGGCGCCCGCGGCGCCCTGAGGGCGGCGGCGGCGGCGGAACCCCCTAGGCCGCGTCCTCGGCCTTGAGCGAGCCCCATGCCGAGCACGTCGGAGGCGGCGGCGGGCGGGAGCGGGGGCAGCCGGGGCTGGGCGAGCGGCGGCGGGAGCAGCAGCAGCTCGGCCGTGGAGGCGGCGGCGGCGGCGGCCGACAAGAAGCGGCTGCACCACCGGCGGCGGAAGCGCTTCGCGGCCCAGCCGCAGCCGCCGCCGCCGGCCCCTCACCCGCTGCTCTTCCCGCTCCTGCAGCCGCCCCTCCTGCAGCCGCCGCTCCTGCAGCCGCCGCTGCCGCCGCAGTCCCTGCTCTTCCTGGCGGCCACCGGCGCCTCCTCGTGCTGCGGGGACGGGGGGGAGCGGAAGCGGCCGCGGGGCAAGCGGCGCTCGGGCTCCCGCCACAAGCGGCGGCGGGGCCGCGGGGGCGGCGGCGGCGGCGGCGCGACCCAGGAGGCCGAGAAGCGGCGCGCAGGCGGGGGGCTCAGCACCCTCGTGGAGGAGTACGACGACGTGAGCTCCCAGTCCGAGGGGCTGGTGGGCAGCGGCGCGGCCGGCACCGGCGGCGCGGGCAGCGGCGGCGGCAGCCCRGCCTCCTCCTCGGGCGGCGGCGGGAGCCAGCAGCAGCGGGGCGACTCGGAGCGCGGCAGCCGCTCCCGGCGCGAGCACCGCGGCGGCAGCCGCCGCTCCAAGGAGCGGCACCGCGAGCACCGCCGGCGCGGCGAGGAGAAGCCGGCGGCGCACGACGGGCCGGCGGGCAGGGGGGCGGCCGAGGCCTCCTCGTCCTCCAAGTCGCGCAGCCGCCACAACCACAGCGGGGGCCAGGACCGTGAGGGACTCAAGAGCAGCAGCAGTGAGGGCCGCAGGAAGGGCTCCCTCTCCTCCCCCAGCAGCGGCAGGAAAGAGCGGGAGAGCAAAGCGCACCGCAGCCGGACGAAAGCGGCCAAGGAGCCGCCCTCGGCCTACAAGGAGCCGCCGAAGGCCTACCGCGATGAGAAGCCCGAGCCCAAGGCGTACCGGCGGCAGCGCTCCTCGCCCAGCCCYGGCCGCGACGACAGCCCCCCGCTGCACCGCTCCTCGCAGAGCCAGCGGAGCCGCAAGTCGCTGAGCCCCGTGGGCGGCCGCTCGCCCCTCAGCCCCTACAGCCGCCGCCGCTCGCCCAGCTACAGCCGGCACAGCAGCTACGAGCGCGGCGGGGACGTGTCGCCCAGCCCCTACAGCAGCTGGCGGCGCTCGCGGAGCCCCTACAGCCCCGTCATCCGGTGAGTGCCGCGGGGAGCCCCGGGGGAGGGTGTGGGGTGGGATCCTCGGCCGCCTTCCTGGTCCACTTAGAGGAGAGGCTCCCATGGAGCAGCTCCCGTGTAGCCCTCCCTCTTGCTGCCAGAGGCCTGGGGTGGCGGTGGCGGGGAGGGAGGGAGGGAGGGAAGAGGTCAGGGACACATTCAGAGGTCTTCCTGCCTTGTCTGGGGACAAGGGAAGAYATGAGGCTCTTTTGCAGCTATTCCTCTGCCTCAGAGACCCTGAAGCTTGAAAAAATGTTTTTAAAAGCATTAAAGAGCATGAGAATGTTTCCAGGCAAGCGTGTTACCAGGAATGGAAAGCAACCCTGGGAGGCTAAGGCCTTTGAAGGGACCATGTTGTTCTTTGTTTATAAAGTGTGGAGATTGCCAGGTACATTTTTACATACCTTCTGGAAGAAGGTGTCTGTTGAATACTTCGGTACTTGCTTTAATTCCCCTCTAACCTAAAGAGGAATGAAATTGAGAGACAATTCATGGTACTAGTGTTTCTTGTTCTTTGGAGGTTTATAGAAATATCTAAATTTTCTATTTTGCGTGGAAAAGGAGCTCTTGTCAAGTTTTTTGTTAAATTTGCACATTTACCTACTTTACACAACCTAGAAAAGCATATTCAAGCTCTCTTCCAGTAAAGAGTATCATGATAGCATGTATTGTACGTGTTACATTTGACATGTGTTTGCAAATAGCTTTGTTACTGTTAATGGGAAGTCAGAATGTAAAGGTCAGCACTACCGTGACATTTTTAGGGTTTATACAGAGTAAACAATGTGGACTGTATCCCTATAACTGACACAAACAGTGGTGCAGAATTAAAACGCTTGAAAATGTGAAAACACTTGAAAATATTTTAACTTAGATTTCTTATTTTTTTATATATATGGTCACTTTGTGTTTATAATGCGRGATTTCTCTTTTCCCTGCTGTAATCTGACTGTTGCCACATTGTTTACAGGCTTACTTGTAAACTGAAATTCACCTGTGAACTTGAATGTTAAATTTTTAAGGTGCTTTGTCATTCCATTGGCAGGAATAGATTTAAAAGTCATTACCTGGTAGGTTGTATGAGAACTGTTGTCTGGTGTTTCTAATTTTGCATCAGTTGCACTGTGTGACACCACAAATGGCATCCAGTGGGAGGGCTGGAGCCGTTTCTGTGTCTCGCTGTCTGTCAGTCAAATCTGCAGCGTTGGGTGTGCGGCAAATGCTCCTCAAAGAGAGAGAAGTAACAAAACTGCGGCCTACTTTGTTCAGAGGGAGAGAACAAAGGTGCCTTTGCGAGAAATGGTGATCGTTTTGAGGTACAGTTGTATAGAATAAGTTTGTAGACAATGGAGTGCTTCAAGCAGAAAATACTGCAAGTTGTCTGAAAAAAAGAGCAATTTTGTTATTGTTTTTCCATGAGAGCCTGATRTAAGCAGCCAACGGTCCTCTTTTTTCGAGATGATTTGAGTAGTAAAATAGCAGGAATGTTATGGGAATGTTTTGACAAAACAGCCTGATTTCCAGCATGTTTTCTGTAAAACCTTTTGTCTTGGAATAGGCCTGCTCATGATGACAAGCAAAGCGATAATGTGAGGTTTGCACTTAAGAATAGCCACGTTAGTTAGGCTGTGGTCCAGTTAATCTAGGATCCTATCCTAAATGGTGGGTAATAGTGGTAATCGTCTTGCACTAGAAGGTGCAGAGGATTCTGTAGTGGATAACTACAGAACAAAGTGCAGGAAGTGTTTTCTTTCCTGTCCGTAGTGGGGCTGTGATTTGAAGCTTTTTTTAAAAATCCTTTCTAAACCTTTCGTGAGTTGCAAATCCGCTTCTAGGAGTTAGTGTTGTGACCTCACTTCTTCCTTCCTCCAGTTAAACTCAAATTTGCATCCAGTCTCCTACTGGATACAGATAAATTATTCTGTTAACGAATGCAGATTGTCAGGTTACTGGAGAGGAATTGGCRTGGCTGAGGGAAAGAAGAGGTTGCTGTAGAAATCAAGGTCAGTCTGTCCTAATGTGTGGTTAATTCTGGAAATGAATAAGGGATTTTTATCTTTGTCCTGACCATCCTGCATCCTTTTCTTTTTTTACAGAAAAAGAAAGTGAAGGTGAATGTTATTCCTAATGTTTGCCTTTTTTTATTTTTTTTCTTTTTACTCACACCCATGTGGCTATTATACCTTCTTTTTTTTCCCTTTGGTGGTGTTTAGGGGGAAATAACCTTAAAATGGAAGGTTATTGTGTGGTTGTTATTCAAAGCTGTGTTGTAATTGCTCGTTTGGTGCTTGACTTGGTGGCAGCATCCCATCAAATCTGTGGATTCTGGCTGTGCAGTTTGGGTGGTGATATTGCAACCATAGACCCGACAGAACGTCATGGTTTCACAAGGGCAACAGCTTCTTGCAGCACCTGTCTTCTTGAGCTGGTGATTTAAAGACTTAATTCTGGGCTTGTATCCAGGTATAATGGCGTCCGGACGGAGCTGTGTATGCTGCTGGCTGCAAGGCTGACTGTTGTTCTCATTTTCTGTTTTGTGTATGAATCTGCAAGAATTACAGATTAATTATCTAGTTATTTTGGGTTGTAGCTAATGAGAATGAAGGGGTTCCCGTGAGCTTGGCAAAAAACATGTATCTAGAATCCCTACCTTTTCCTTTAGGTCTCTGAAGCTCAGTGAGAAGCTTCTAGTAAACACTAGAAGAGAAACAAGTGAAGTCAGCTTCGCTCCTTTGAATCTGTGTTTTGTTCTTCTTAAGCAGCAGTAGCAGAGCAAAACCAATGCGAGTTAGATAGAGCCTCTGATTAGCCACCTGGATCACGATAGAGCCTCTAGTTAGTGACCTCCGATAGTGTTGCCTGGCGATAGCTCCTGGATGGAAGCAAAGGCACTAGATGTGTTTTGTGCTTGGAAGGTTATCCTTGAATGGCCAACTACTTGCCTTTGCCTTTCTGCTAGCTCTGTCTCTTTCTTTTCTTGTTAAAACCCATTGTGTACACTGTTCCTATGCATTAGACGAAGCTTTTCCCTTGGCCACTGGTGGAATTATAATCCTGTGTTGTAAGAATCAGTTTAAATATTACTTTATGAATGAGAACTGACTGTGCTGCCTGTAATGAACAGTATGCCTTGTGTTTTCTTGTGAGTGGTTACACGGTTGTTCTGAAGTAGCAAATGTACATTTTCAGAATGGAAATTCTTCTGTGATACCAAAAATACCACAAAAGCAGGAGGTATTTACTCCTCTACCCATAAACTGACTGGATTTTTTAAAAGCTCACGACACTTAAAATATATATTGATACATATGCATGCACACACATCTAGAAATATAGATGTCTATCTCGGCATCACTGGTGAAACAAGCAGGCAGAGTCTTACTTTGGCAACCAACTTGAAATTAAATTGTAGGCAGAAAGAGATGTTTCTCATAAATTCAGGCGGGTCATATGCTCTGTGATCGCACGTTTAATTTGGTTAGCTGTATATACAAGTAATCACACTTTGCTAAAGTGGGATACACCTACCCACATGGCTGCATAAAAGTAAGTAGGCAGAGCACCCTTAGCATAGTACTAGCGTATGCGTAAATGTTCCTAGRAAAAATAAGAGATTTAATTTCTTACTGGTTCTTGCTTAGTAAGTATTTCTTACTACAGAGCCATCTTGTGCTGCAGCAGCAGTTGGCCCACAGCAGTGTAGCTTTGGGAATGACATACCCCTTGAGARACTGGAGCAAGCATCAGGAAAATGGTAAAATATGCATTCAAGTAATAAATGCTGACTTCGTGGGAGAAGCCATGGCCTCATCTGCTGATAAAAAAGAGATGAGACCAATAATTCTGCTTTTGGATTTGAAGGAGTTGGAGAGATTTTTTGAGACCTTTTCTGTGATGAAAAGAGGCTTTTTTATAGAACTCTTTATTCTTGCTTAGTAAAACTCTATTTTGCAAAATTTTAAATGTGAAAATGTACATTTTCATTGTTGAAAAATAAATCCAGTGTATATTTAAGCTCTTCCAGTAGCACATTTTCTGAATTTATTGAGATTTGTTTTCCTAGTTGATAATGAACTTTGCCTTTTGCCCAATCACTGTAACATGCCTTTCCCCTTCCTCTTTTCCTTTCCTTATTGTGGGAATACACTTGGTTTAAAAATGAAAATGTTAATATATTTAGAAAGCAGAATTTGAGTTGACTTCCATTCTTGCTGGTTGATCTTTTTGTAGGCASAGTTCTCAGTGGAGAATGCAGCGCTATAAAGCAGATTTAAGAGAAAAATGAAAGTTTAGCACTTTTCAGTATTATTRCAGTACGTGTATTAGATAACCCTGTAACGATTTGTGTTTTGAGTCTGTGAGACTAGTTACATAGTCGTTGTACAGAAAGCATGCTAACCAAATGGGTGGGTTCTTGCACAGCTGCTTAGTTTAGAGCCCTGAGCTAGGAAGTAGAGAAAATAACCACAGTATCCAGTGAGCGAACACTTACTGTTGTGGATTAAAGGAGTGAATTGTATGTTTGTCTGCTAGTGCATCATGGAAAAACTATACTATGGTTCTGAACTAGAATGTCTTGTCAAGGTGGTTTCAGTTACTGGGTGATTATAAATGTCTTGGAGGATCTGTGGGAAAGCCAATTGATTAAATTTAGGTCTGCCTTTTCAAATATGCTATGACCTTGCGATGCACTGCAAGATGGCAGTGCTTGCAAAGTGTTGCAGCATTTGCTGGGAGTCAGTGGTAGTATTGGGTCATAGCCTATGTTTTAACTTCCTTTTATTCAGTTTCTTATTATTCTATTCTTATTCGGATGAATTCTTTTGTGTTCAGTTTTGTCTGCAGAGCCTGGGGTGTTCTGCACGTAATGCGGTTTGCTCAGGAACGCTGGCCACCAGCGCTTAGGATTCAGTTCACTCTTAAAGCAGTTAAGAGGAAAGGAGGTTTTCAAATCTACAAACAGGAGAAGATAATGCATG